TATAAAAGTGGAAAGAGTTTCCTGCAACATTTCTATTGATATTCAACAACAGCATAAAGGAATATGGAAAAAAGAGTAATTTACAAAAGCTAAACATACTGTTTCAAGTATCGTTTTCACAAACATTTTAATCATACTGACAAAATTATCTTTAAAAAAATTCTTAATGCTCTTCAGAAAAATTAACTAGAATGGTGTTCAGAGTCATTGTCTCAACCTGATCAACAAAGCTGTAAATTTCAATTAAATCTTGGGTTATTCAAGTTTTTTTCCCCAAGGCGACTCTAAATTTATTCTAAGGCATAGGGACCTCCCACTTCCATGCCTGCTTTTTTTTATCCTTCTCCTTTGAACTCAGAAGTCACAGTCACTCTTTGTGGATCTGATAGCTGGGGAGGGATAAGAGAAAAAAGAGCCAAAGGGAAGACAAGGTTTTCTAGGGCATCTGTAATGGTGATTCCTAAGTAAGCTGAATGTATACAACAACCAGCTATAGAATCTTCTAAGCAAGATTGTCAGAGGAATAACTAGACTGTGGAATTGTCAAAGAGGTTGTCAATTCTGCCTTCTATGGAAATCAGAGTTTTATGTGTTGCAAGATTTTTATAAGCTTAAGGTTAAGTGGGGAAGAAGGACTTACCTGCAATGTTAAGTGAAAAATGAAAGTTTCATCAGGTTCTGGTAACTCATCATCACATACAGCTATGTACACTGTTCTATTTGTTTCTCCAGCAGGTATAAAAGTAGCAGCATATGTGTCAAAAAAGTCACCAGTATCTTCTCCATACAACTACCAAGTGCAAAATACAGATCATTCTTACTTAACACAATATTAGAGCAAGCAAAACTGATGCTTATTGTAGCAATCAAGAGAAAAAGCATAAACCAATCAGCACTGACGTTTATAGATAGGATGTACAAAAATATAAATCATAAATATTTATTAGGTTATTAAGTACGAAATGTCTGATTTCCTTAAGTACTAAGTTTGACAGTTGCTATCTCTGACATTTCACTTTGATACCTCGTTTTAGTTTTTATTATGAAGGTACACCCTCATTCTTTCAAACGCACATTGTGGTTTGTGGATTATCTTTCAAAATGTTTTTAGAGCAATTTCTGTGAAACCATCAGTAAGTCAAAAATTCGTGTATTTTCTAATATAGTTCCATCGTGGAACCAATGCAGCTCAGACAGCTCGAAATATCAACGAAGTATTTGGGAAGGATGTGGCTAATGAACACACAGTACATCGATGGTTTGAGAAATTCCATTGTGGTGATTTTAATCTTGAAAATGAGCCACTGAAAGCTGTAGCGGAAGCTAATCCATCTCAACCTATGCGTGAATTAGCAGCAGCAAGGTTTGACATGACTATTTCAACAACATTGGATGATTTGAAACAAATGGGCAAGGTAAAGAAGCTGGATAGATGGGTACTGCAACTGGTAAAACTGGTAAAAATCATCTTCAGAAATAAATGTTAAAAAAATTATTCTATACAGGAGCTTTTGTTTATACTGCGGAAGGAAAAGAAATAGTACTTAGGAAAGTAATAATTACTCAGGAAAGTAATAATATGAAGTTGTTTTATTGTTTTTTCTCTGCCTCTTGATTGATCTGGAGTGGACTAACAAGAAGACAAATTGTAGCTAAAACTCACAAAAAATATGACATATAAACACATGGAATATTATTCAGCCATAAAAAAAGAATGAAATCCTGTCATTTGCAGCAACGTGGACAGAAGTGGAGGACATTATGTCAGGTGAACTAAGCCAGGCATAGAAAGACAAATATTGCACGTTCTCACCCATATGTGGGAACCGAAAAAGTGGATCTCATGGAAGTAAAGTGTAGAATGGTGGTTACCCGAGTCTTGGAAGGGAAGGAGGGGGAAATGAAGAGAAGTTGGTTAGTGGATACAAAAATACATTTAGACAGAAGGAGTAAGTTCTAGCTGTCAACAGTACACTAGGGAATTTACAGTTAACATAAATTTATTGTATATTTCAAAATAGCTAGAAGATATTAATTGTAATGTTCCCAACACAAAGGAAAGATAAATGTTTGAGGTGACGGATATCCCAGTTACCTTCGTTTGACCATTACATGTTGTATAAGGTATCAAAATATCCTATGTACCCCAACAAATGTGCAAATACTGCATATCAATAAAAAAAGAAAGAGAGGAGAAAAAGAGATAAGTAGTCTGCCAAAAACTGAGTTTTACTTCCAATTATTTTCAGTTATTTCAATTATTTTCCTTATCAATTTCAAAGAATCTGCTCTTTCCAAAATTTTCAACATGAAATTATAATGTATTTATATTCTCCCACAACAATTCCAATAAGGGCCTAATTCTTCTAGCATTCCAAACTTTGTATTCATTATAAACTTTTCTTTAACTTTTTAAGATATTATTCTGTAAAATCAGCATCATTAATAAGATTCTTGGGGTCCAAATGAGATCTCTTTTACCAAATAGTGCAAAATGAATAATTTAACTACTAGAAAAAATATATATGATTTAGTACAAAAAAAAACACATGTTTAAGGAAATTTTAGTCAATTTCTAGTTCTCATCTATAAAAATAAATTAAGTTTTAAATACTTGAGAAATCCAAGTAAGTTGTCAAGGGTATTGGAAAACTTATACCTTCCTGAAGAAAATGGCATATAGACTTTACGAAAGCATTATCAAGAGCCATGGAAACAAATAGAAATAAAAAGTAATCCAACCTATGAAAATCATTTAAAATGCAAAATATGCAAAAATTGACATAAGCAGTTGAGGAATGATTAGGAAGTAATGGAAATACCACCAAGAAAAGTTATGAAAATGATAGCACAACCGGAAAAAACTGTTAGGGTACAATCAAAATTATATGAAAATTATTATCAAATATAATGTATACTCACACTAAAAATAAATTCAATAAATATATGTCATTAATTCAATAAAATCTAAAAGTAATGCACAAAATTATAATATTAGATTAGTTTCATAGGTAGTTTTTCTTCATTTTCTGTTTTCATAATATTTCATAATATAATAATTTAAACTATTGTTTAAAATTTTATTTTTGCAAACAAAAATTTCAAGTACTTTGAGCCTCAAATATAGCAATATCTTTAGTAGCAGTCATACGACATTACTTTCTGGTTAAAAATAGACTCATATACATGTACACACAATCCATCCAATAACTAAACTATATGCAAAACAGATCAAGTTTAACAAATTCAACTTAACTTCTACTTAAGTTAATATACTTAATTTCTCCCACAAAAAGAGCTCTCCAACATAACCAAGGTTTTTTTATTCCTATTGCCATTTTCATACTTTTAAATATTCCATATATTTTCTCTATACCACCCTACAATAGATAATATGTCTGAGTAGAGATACCTACAATGCAAATTACCAAAAATAAAATATTCTTATTTTAAAATAAATGTATGAGCACTTAAAAATAATCAGGCTATATCTTTAAGACTCTATTGTCCAATGCAAGTGGCCACCTTGGAGCACTCTATAAACCCATAACAGACAATAACGCAAGAGTGTAATCCACAAATCATTTATCATAATGAAACTACTCAAAATCTCAAATGGTGGAAAAAAAAAAATCCTTGCCATTGAAATTAAGAAATTTCATGTCTATTTCAGTAAAAATAGAACTAAAATCATTTCTTACCGACACAATTGCAGTAACATTTGCTGGCTCTCCTATCCTTTCAATGGTAAGACGAATAACTGTTGTACTTGTTTCATTAACAACAAATTCTGTTTGTCCAGCAAATCTTATTTCTGTTTCTCCAAATACAAAAGAGATAAAAAAAACTGAAAGAAGATTTACTACTAAAGATGCAGAGGGCATCCCTAAAAGAAAAAAGAAAAAAAAAGTAATCACTAAACATATCTAACATATTTTCATTAGATTATGTTGTCTACAGATATAAATACAATGTGAAGAGTTAGAAAGTGAATAACTAAGACCTAAATACATCAAATATTAAGCCATCCAACTCAAATGTGTGATAACAGAAGTTACTGATAAAAATCGCAATCTATTCTTATGGTTCTCTCTTTACTATTCGTAATTGCTTTTTGTTCTTTAGCTTCTATACCAAGATAATAGTTATAAATTAAACTTATTTATTAAATTTCATTTATTAAAAAATGTATTGACATCCACCCTTTAAGAAAAACACAGGCATCAATACAGAAATTGAATTAAAGCCCATCTTTCCCCAAATGAAGCTATGAAATACCAGCCAAAACTACAACAGTTAAAGCTTAAGCTTTAGCAATAAATCAATTTCTTGGTTGGTGTCTACTTTTCCTTAAATCTGTCATATTTGAGAATTTTTTAAATTTCTAGTTATTGCAAGGAAATGCTAATCCTTTCAAAGAAGAGGTAAATTTGGGGGACTTAAATATCTTTCATTTTATTAGCTAAAATACTAATACCATTTCTTAGAAAATGTCCACATTGCTTTAAAATAAAATTTGGCAAAGTGTGTATTTCTTTCTTTCCCATAACATCTACTGTTTTCTTCTTACTACAATATGTGTGTTTATGAGTCAACAATATTGTTCCTACTTTCAGCACTGTGGGATTCAAGTGCTTTCAAAAGCACAACAGTGCAATGGTCTCTTGAAAGCGCTGCTGCTGTTTTGTAATGTAGATGTACCTCTAAAAATGTGAACAATTTCTCTCACGGATCATTAAGATTCCAATGTATCTATGTGATCAGTCACACGAACATAACAAGTTCATGTGTTTTAAAAGAGAGTTGCATTACGTACTCCATGAGCCAAAATGCTTCCTATTAATCTTTACCTTGGCCAAGAAGTAATAAAATTTTCATGTATGTGGTATTTCCACATGGCTACACATGGCTTTATATTTAGGAATCACCAAATACATGAGTTCTTGATATATTTTAGGGTTTAAAAGCAATTATCTCAGTCAAGTATATTCAAACAATGCCGTCTGAAATTGCTCAATAACGTCTCACATGCTTCAGACAGCAAAATCCACAAATAGGGATGCAAAATTCAAATGGCATCCAGGAAAGAGACATAGGCCAAGAGGGACAGAAATGCTGAAGGACCACTAGACCTATTTGCACCTACCCCTCTCTCCAAGCAAGCCTGCCAGAAGGCTAAGGAACTCGGAAAAAGAAATAAAACAGCTTTCCTTCACCAGCTGCATACTCTTCCCTGAATTCTAATCCAGGAATGTTCATAGAAAGAAAGGAAATGGAAAAGATGACAGAAAGGGAAGGTAAAAAGCAAAGCATGAGTGAGACAGAAAACTGGGAGCAGTTCTGAGCTAAACCAGAGCCAACTAAAGAAGATCTTTTGTGGAATTAAAGCCATAATGATTTCACACCCCACTTATGACAAATAGTGGGAAAGAAATGAACTACAGACAATGAAGAGGATACAGAATAAAGGAATGAAAAGGTAGCCACCTAGGCCTTGAATGTAAAAGAAAAAAGATCAACTTTGGTCTATTGTGATTTTGAAAGAAAACTCTCAAGGCCCTGAACAGCAGATGTGATAGAACCTGGAGTTGAGAGAAATAAGAAGATATCCAAAGTTCAAAGTGATAAAGAGTAAAAGTGAGACTATAGCATGAGAAGAAGGAATCATGAACAACTAAGAACAGTTTTCAAAATTTGTCCTGCATAAGAATAACCTCGAGCATTTGTTAAAATGCCAATTCGCACTCCCAGAATTTCTGACCCAGTGGGTCTAGGACGAGGCGCAGTAATGCACATTTAACAAGCAGCACTATTGATTCTTATGCAACTGATGCTTAGAACACACTTTGAAAAATACTGTTCTAGAGAGTGAGGAACAGTGTGAGAAGTGTGTCCTCTGGTGGAAATACGAAAGGCCACATTTGTAGTTATAAGTTAACCACTGAATTTTTCAATGCTGTATGCATGAACTTCCTCATATGTTTTCTACATATTCTCATATTGCTTTTTAAGATTCCATGCAGTCTAAAGGAAAACTGTAATGACCTTTAGAAAGTAACAGCAAATGCTTGTATAGAGCTGTTTTAAGTACTTTCTACACATTAACACATTTAATCCTTACAATATCTCTACGAGGAAGGTGGGAGTATCATTAACTCCATTTTATAATTAAGGAAACTAAGGCACAGACAGGTCAGTTAACATATGCAGTATTATTCAGCTAAGTGGCTAGGCAGGACTTGAATCCAGGAATCTAGCTCTAGACTTTCTACCCAATAACCGCATTATACTACCTCTTACATTTTATTCCTACAAATCACACACCTTCATCTTGAATAACATAATAGATAATTTATGCAACATGTTTCCAAGCATTCAAATATTTTAAACTCATGCAGAATAACCAAAACTGTCACAAAACTGCATAATTATGAGCCTCCTGAAAGTTTGCTCCTGATTATTCTGATAAATATTACATTAATTTAAATGACATTACAGTTCTCTTGACTACTTTAAATATTTAACAGCATCTTTTAATGTCAGGACCAATGAGTTCAAATGCTGCATTCTTACGGTCTCCCAGGCAATTAGAGTTCCAGGATCTTGTGTTTAAGTCAGTAAATTCATTTTAAATTGGTCCACATCAGTGAGTTTTGAGATTATGCAAAATGAACAAACAAGCATGATTGGAAATGCCTCAAATTCTGTGACATCATTGATAATTGCATCTCCTTGGCTTTCATCTTTTCACACTGTAAGAAAAGTTGTTGGGGCAAAGTTGGCATTCGATAGAAATTAGAAGATGAAAAAAAGCTTTGAAAATGAAGTTCCCATTAGAAGACAGGCATAATTACACAACAGTGCTGAATAGTTTCTTTTTTATAGTAACTAGGTACACTTTCCTCTACCATACTAAAAATTTAGTCTTTGGAATTCCCTTCATTTTTTTAAATTAAACTCAGAAGATGAGACATTAGTAATTGACACAACACATAAACCTTAAATCTATTTCAGGTAACTTTTTCTCTTATGAGATTTAACAAAAATTTTACATGCCCCATCAGACCACTTATTTTAAACCTCTCTATAAAATGAACTTCAAACAACATATGTTTAAAAATCATAATGTGCATAATTCATACTCTGTCACCGTTGTGAAAGAACAACTTTAGCATCAACAACATCCTTCCTCCTCTCTGTAATGGCACCATACTCCTGTACTCAAATCCTCTCATTTCCAACCATCATCCATGTTCTCCTCACACCTCCCACATTTGCTCGGTATGATTCAAAGGAAATTAAAACTGTTTCTGCCAATAGGTCTCTTGTCTCTTAATACATTTCTTATCACGTTAAGATGATACGCGATTTAGGTTACTTTCTTGCTTCTCATTTCCTGAATTATAATATAAAATTTTGAGAGAGTCCTGGTAACATATAGGCACGAAGTCTCAGGTTCTTAAATTCTAGTAATCATATTAAATCTATACAACAAGTCAGCTAATTCTGTAAAAGAAATTTCAGAATTAAAATCTGGAATATACTAGAGTCGGTCTTATAATGCAAACTGGTTTCTTTCAGAAGAGAAGCCTACAGTTTGGTATAATACTTGTGTATTGAGTACCCACTATACATCGTGCAACACCTTGTGCTTATGTCTGAGGACAAAGATACTTAAGATATAATTCTTGTCTCCAAGACACTCACAGGGATGGGCACATGATTCAGATCAGGCCAATCAAAGCCAAGAAGACACAACTTTGAGACTTTTGCTTGCACATAGGGATATAGATTTGCTCTACCACTGGATTGAGGATTGTGACGATTAGGGCCAGCTACCTCCACAATGTGGAAATGAAGCCAACATAGTGGAAGACAGAGCCAAGAGGTGGAAAGGAGCCCCATCTTGATAATCAAGCTTAAGTTTCTGACTCCAGCTTTAACCTGGATTTTTCAGTTACCGAGATAATAAATTATATTTTGTGCTTTATCTGGTTTGGGTTAGATTTTCTGTCACTTTCAGCATCAATATTTATCCACCAATCTCCAATCTGTTACACTGTGATCTCATGTTAAGATACACCAAGTGGAAGGTCTCCCTGCCCCACTCTAACATTAAATAGTATTAGTTCTTCTGTAAGCATTTGTGAAAGGATGCCACACTAGCTATGTTCCCTGTTGTCATGCAATTATTACCACCATGTGTACTCTGTCTAATATTTTTCTCTTGACCTCAAATCTGGCAATGACTAGTAAGGAATTTTAAGACACATAGACAAACCAAGGATGTTTTCAGAATAGAACACTCACTGTCCTAAAAAAGTTAATGCCCTTCTAATTGTCACCAAGGAACTCCAATATCATGCTCCTTAAAATTAATCTGACACTAATTCCTTTCTATTGCTCTTTCCCTAGATGCCACTTTCTTCCCTTTTGAAAGCCTACTGCTATTTCCCAACTTTATTCCTTCCTTGGATTACTTAGCTCATAAACGCATTAAATGTTATAAAACGACACTCATCAACAACAATCTGTCATAATAACCATTGAATTCTAAATCCCGTTTATCTACAATAATACCTTCCTCCCATCTTACTTCGTATTAATGGGAGCCTTAGGACATGTAGCAAGTATAGCATATTCTGAGTAAACAGGAATAGTTTTCTACTTTAGGTCTCAACAACTATGTAGAAGCAGAGTAGAATAATGAACAGAGTAAATTAAATAAATGAGAATCAGGACTCAATAGATGAAAATACAAATAAAAATATAAGAATTCAATTGATTTTGCCGATTTTGTGGTAATCAACTTACATAAAAACCTTTCTTCAGTTTGAAAGTTAACCCTGTTTTTTTTAAGTTTCAGAATAAACAATTATACAAT